GGGAGGATGACAGTGAGTGAGGGGAGGAGGAGGGGGAGTGGTAGTGGAGAGGGAGGTGGTGGTGGTGGTGGACGGTGACAGAATAAAGGAAGAGGATGGAGGAAAGAGGAATGGAGGGAAAAAGAGCAAGAGGCAGGAAAAGCGGATAGATGGAAAAGCAGGAAAACAGAGAGGGTAAAAGGACAGGATCGGGAAAGGAAGAAGATGGGGGAAAGGACGAGGACCGAGGGGGAGGAGGAGGGCAGGGTGGAGGGAAAAGAGGAACACGAGGGAGGGAAAGAAAAAGACGAGGTATGGGGAAGAGGAGAGAGGAAGGAGAAGGAAGCGGACAGAGGGAGAAGAGGAGGGGGAGGAAACTAGGCAGCGGCGGAACTCATGTTGCTATCTTTCGGCCGACGACCTCAAGCGGGGCCGGGCTAGAAACACCGCAGCTGCCCGGGCAGCGCTAGCACCGAAAAGCTGACAGTCGGGCAGGGCCCGGCCGGGTGGCCTCGACGGCTCCAGCTCCCCATGCTCGGGGACCCGGTCCAGCCCCCCATGCTCTGGGACCCGGTCCCGAAGGCTCGTCAGCCCTGTGAGGGGTGCTTCTCCCCTCCCTACCCCCCCCACCCCGCCTGGGGGACAGGTGGGGGGTTCGGCCCCTCAGCCGCCGCCGCGGTGCCTCCTCTTCCTCTCTTGGGTTCTAATGGCCCGGGGGAACCCCTTGGGGCCAAGACCAAAATCTACAACCTGCCGCCTCTTCCGCCTCCCACGCTTCAGAAGCGGGAACCTCCGCGGTGCCAGGTCTTCCGCGTCCGGGCACCCATCGGGTCCTGCGCACGCGCCCGGCGGCCGCGCCAATGAGCCCGCGGGCACGGAGCATGCGTGGGAGCCCCGCCCCGCAAACCTCCCCCAAAGGGGAGGAGCGTTTCCAGTGGGCCCGGCGCCTTCCTCTCTGGCATTGGCCCGGGGACCCTGGCGCCTGATTTTGAAAAGAACCAATAGTTTGGAGACACTGGAGCATCCTCGTTCAGAGGAGTTTGGGCCGATATTCATGGGAAATAGAAACCTGTGGTTTCCAGGTTTTTTTCAATGCCAGTTTGTTTGCTCTGATCTCTGTGATCTCCGCCCACTTATTAAATCCCTTGATTTTGTTGGTCTTTGGAGGGGCTGATTTCTTTTTCAGATAATCCATTTGGATGCACTAGACAAAAGAGAAATGAAAAAACAAAAGCAATGGTGTAAAAATAAAGAGAATCTAATGAGAGTTCATATAGCGAGTGGCAAGCACTCATCTCCATTTTACAAGCACTGTTAGCTTCAACGATATTAGGAAAAGTCCTGAAGAACAAGTAGCAGAGTCAATTTTTTTTTTCTTTCTAAGATTTACGGAGACCCTAACAATAGCCATTCAGCATGTGTGAGGCCTGGAATAATTTATTTTATTTAACAAACACCTACATAGCAGTTACCGTGTGCTAGGCCCCATTCTAAGAGCTTTAGAAATATTAACTCATTTAATCCTCACTACTTGAATGACCCTGAGATAAAGATGGTATTGTATTGTGTTAATCAAACATACAGAGAAATATAGGAAATTTAATAGTTATGAAATTGGTTTCGAAATTTAGCCAAAGTAGTTTTACCTGCCTCTTCAACTTAGTTGTCCCATATTAAACTTGCCAAGCCCGATCATTTTATTCTTCAATGTTAGTATTTGCTGCTTGTAATACAGAGTTTTTAAGAGTTTTTGGATAGTTTCCTTTAAACTGCCTATATTTTTCTGCCAACTGGATTAGAAAAGCAAGCTCTGTTTTGATCAATTTATGTAGCTCTTTTTATCTCAAGTTATCAGCAACCCCCTCATCTGCTCAAAAAAATATAGTACATTCTATTGTTCACAATAGCTAGTAAATAATCATCTGTTGACCACATGCAGAGTCCCTAACTCTGAGGAGTCAAACAATTTAGTAGAATCCCTGGGTCGCCTGGGTGGCTCAGTTATTAAGCGTCTGCCTTCAGCTCAGGTCATGATCCCAGGGTCCTGGGATTGAGCCCCGCATCGGGCTCCCTGCTTGGCGGGGAGCCTGCTTCTCCCTCTCCCACTCTCCCTGCTTGTGTTCCTTCTCTCACTGTGTCTCTGTCAAATAAATAAATAAAAATCTTTTTAAAAAATTTAGTAGAATCCCTAACTTTCAGGGGTGCCTGGGTGGCTCAGTTGGTTAAGCCGCTGCCTTTGGCTCAGGTCCTGATCCCAGGGTCCTGGAATCGAGCCCGGCATCGCATCGGGTTCCCTGCTCATCGGGGAGTCCGCTTCTCCCTCTCCCTCTGCCCCTCTTCCCTGCTCATGCTCTCCCGCGCGTGCTCTCTCTCAAATAAATAAATAAAATCTTAAAAAAAAAAAAAAAAAAGAATCCCTAACTTTCAGGAGCTTAACAATTAGGAGAAACTCAAGGACATGTGAGAAGATGGATGCTACTTTGGCCATTATTTCCAGATTCTATTCATATCATTCTTGCCTATCTAGTTTCTTTTACCCTTCATGTAAATCTTTTGGGAGGTTTGGGGTATTTGTGGTTTGTGGGCTTGAGTTCAACTTGTCTTTGACTTGCTCTTGTGATAACTAAAAGTTAACCAGTTGCTTAAAAGTTGCCATGACGACTGATAAACTAAACAACTGATTATGACATATTTGTGGGACACCTGTTATAAGTAAGAGGCCTGGTTCAAATGGCAGCAGACCGGGACAAAGCAAAAACACGAGTAGCGTAAGTGGCAAGGTATAGATCTAAGCAAACTAGCAATTTAAGATCATGTCATATTGCTATGTCATATTGCTATGGAACAGCAGGAGATGATCATGACACACAGCTAGGTTGGTATAATAATGCATGAAGAGAAAGGGGAAAATGTAAAAATAATTTCTTTAAATGTTGTGTTTGCCACTATAGTATATAGAATTGTTTTTCCAGTACTTGTTCCTTTTGACATTCTAATTTGCTTATGTACTATGGGTTCCTGGCATTCAGCTACACTTTAGAGAATTCCTCCTCTTTGATAATAGCTGAAAACTTCCTGCCATCTCAAGCATGTAGTCATTTCATATTACTACCCCTTTTCTTGAAAGTCTCTCAGTTGCTATTTCCTTGTCATTTTATTATTTATTTTCTTAGTGTTCTTGTACTTAGTTTTTTAAAAATTAGGATCTGTGATGCTTAGGCGTGATAAGATTGTCTATTCATTCAAAATATATCCTTTAAATCTTATTACTTGCCACAAATATTAACAAACTCTTTGAAAAGTAAAATGAGCAGTAGAATGGAGGGAAGATCTACTTACTTTCTGGTGTACCCACCATTTTTCTGCTATTCAGTTTGGCTTTGACCCCTGTTCTGTATTTAACCACTGCCTTCTACATTCACCCTGTCTTTACTCAGCTTTAACTGCCATCTTTTGTAAACCTTCCAGGTACCCTGGGAACTTTAACAGTGGCCTTCAGGAGATCTTGGTATCAGCTCAGATTCTACTGCTACCTAATTATGTGCCATTAATCTCCCTGGAATTTTAACAACTGTAAAATAGAAGTGACTTGCATACCTTACAAAATAGCTGTGAATGACAGGTTATTTAAACCTGCATTTATTCATAAAATAATTTAAAAATATTTATCAAAGTGCTTATGAGTGTAGAAATAGTATCCAGAGAAATATCCAGAGGCCCCTCATCTGCCTTTTCACTTAAATAAGAGGGCAGAGGAATCTTGGCTTTGCCACTTAGCAGTTATTTGAGTAACCCCTCTGGGCTTCAGTTTCCTCCTTTGAAAAATGGGCATTGTGATGGTGCCTGCCTCACAGAGTTACTGTAAGTATTAAATGCAATCACATATTTAAAGTGCTTAGGACAGTGCCTGGCATATAATTAAGTGCATGAAAAATGGTAGCTATTGTTAACCTGTCTTACATTAGGAAAGGAGACTCCAAATCGTCCTCATGTCTGGGATTTAGATAACCCAATTCTGCCTAATATAATTAAGCTTTTCTTATTCTATTCTCAGAATGAATGAAGAATGATTATGATCATTCATGTCATAACTTGTCATGAACTCTTTCAAGATAATCCCATTATTTTAAGTTCACCACTGATTAGCTGAGCAGGGTTCATGATTGAACCAATTGAGATAAATATGTGAAGACATTTTTTTAAACTGTAAAGTGTTATACCACGTAATGATTATTTTAATTAATAACTCTAATTTCAGTAGTTTCACTTGCCTCCTCTGCCAGTCCTCTATATGGTTCCTTTTTAAAAGGTATGGTTTTACAAAATTGTTAGTGTGGAGTTAAGATTTCGGTACTCAATGTGGCTCATTAACTGGTGGTGAAAAATTCTAAAAGAGCAATTCTTATAATGTTTGAGCCATGACAGCATTATTAAATGGAAACCCTGATCTGGATGGATACTAAATTCTGAGATTTGTTTTAAGTAAATAAGCTTCTCCAACTCAAATCATTTTCTTAGATGAATAGCTTTAAGAAGCTAAATTTTATTTAGTGTAAAAATACACTCACGATTATGGTTAAAAAACAAACAATGAGATCACGTGGAAAACAATGATTCGTCCGCACAATTGGTTCAACTGAGTTAGCGCCCTACAAGGCCACTTCAGCGGCAGGTTGCAGGTCTTGGGTTGGTTTCCGCTCCCCCCCCCCGCCCCCGAGGTATAGCTTTTTTTTTTTTTTTTTTTTTTACGTATAGCGTTTTTTAAATTACAATTGTGTAGTGTTGGCTATAACAGGATGGAAAAATTCGTCATGGGAGTTAACAAGCTTATTGGCCTCAGTTATACGGGGATAATGGGCTACTCAAACCAGAGAAAATTGAGTATTAGACATAGCACAGAAAGGACGGCGCTCCCATACAGCTTACTCCTCCCCACCCTTTCCTCCCTAAATAACGGTCAGTGAAAAACGATCCCTGGGTTCACATAGAAGCAGAGGAACAACCACCGTCAATCTCCACGAGGAATAGAGAGAGGACCGGGCTTGCGGTAAAAAGTCGGCTCCTAAGACTGCGCGTGCGCCCCAGGCAAGGCTGACAAAGACGCCCCCATTGACTCTCATTGTTTGCGTAATAAGCAAGCGTCAGCGGGCAGGGCACGGGGCGCAGGTGCAGCGGGGCGGCACCCGACGGATTCGCGAAGGCGACAGGTTGTAGTTTTTGTTTGGGCCGGAAAGGCTTACCTGGGGTGTCCTTTGCTGAGGGAAATTAAGAACGATTCACGGGGTGACTAGGATAAATTCCTCCTTTTCATTATAGACTTGGGGGTGGAAGATCTCAGCGTTAGGGACCCCGAGGTTGGGGGATAGGAGGTTCGGAGCCAGTCCTGCCCGACTTTGTGCCCACTGGTATTAGGGATGGTAGGGCTGCAAAGGTGAGCACCTCACTCGTCTAAGAGGTTCCTCCTTTCTTCTCTTTTCCCCCTTTTCCTCTCTGCCTGCATCTTCTCACCCAGGTGACTTGTCCTTATGTGAATGGGAGCCAGAAAACCTTGAGAACTTGGAACCAAGCAGTGGTTTCTTCCTCGACGTGGACATGGCGCAAGAGAAAATGGAACTAGACTCGGAGCTGCTGCCGAGTTCAACTACCACAGATGACATGCTGAGAAGATCCAGCAGCGCCCCTTTGATCAATGGGCTTGGGTGAGCAAGCAGGGGGTGGGTGGCAGGAGGTGGGGAAAGTGACTTCGATAGCATTCCCATGACTCTCTCCATCGAGGTTCTACAGGTATCTCCCTTGTTCCTGCTGTGCGGAGATCTCACCCTCAGCCTTGTGGGGAGTGGGATGGGCAGGCCGGAGGGAGAGTGAACACCTACCCTGAGGTTGACACACATGTGAACCTGGACGTCCTCTTCTGACCGTCCACCAGGACCCAAAAGCAGCAACCTATTGGTGTGGAGCACGACTTTTTTTTTAACTTCACCCCACCTCTTACCCACTCCCTTGAAGAAACTGAGCATTCCCCACTCTCACCTCCAGATCTTCTGTGATGACTGTAATTTTCTGTCATTCTCTCAGCTGCTTTGTCACCTCTGACCTTCACCTCTCGCAAATGGAAATGGTTGCCAAGCGAAAAACCTTGGGCCTTTTTTACACCTAGTTTTTATTTGAACAAAAAGTTTGTTAGGTACCACAGAAACTTGATCTCCTAAATTTTGCATTCTCAATGGCCAGTACTGCCCCAAACTTGGTTCTTGGGGGTGTGTGAAAAAAATCTTGCTCTTTTTATGTATAAGCCACAGCTATAAATACAACAATTTCGTGAGAATTTTCAAGAGGGAGTAATTGGTGGGGGGGAAATGTCAAAAACAGTCCCTTAGAGGGCTGATAATGAAAAGCATAAGATTTAAAAACACTGTCCTAACTGATGGTTCACTATTTCCTGCACATACCCAAAAGTCTGGCATGACACATGCTTATAATTTCTTAAAATAGAATTTGAAAGTAAGATCTTGGATCTCACATCCCAGTGTCATAAAGTTTTATCAGTATTGTGAAAATGTTTGAAAAATGCATTCACTCCCTGTGTTAGTAATTTTGCTCCTCCCTTTTCCTAGCATCATTCTAATTGATAGTTATAAATCACAACTGTTAGAAGTGAACTCAGAGGGCGCCTGGGTGGCTCAGTTGGTTAAGCGACTGCCTTCGGCTCAGGTCATGATCCTGGAGTCCCGGGATCGAGTCCCGCATGGAGTCCCGCATCGGGCTCCCTGCTCAGCAGGGAGTCTGCTTCTCCCTCTGACCCTCCCCCTTCTCATGTGCTCTCTCTCATTCTCTCTCTCTCAAATAAATAAATAAAATCTTTAAAAAAAAAAAAAAAGAAGTGAACTCAGAGACCAGATCTACCCTCCTTATTTAACATATGAGGAAACTGAGGCCCATAAGTCTCTAAAATGACGTAGTAATAGAGCCAGTGTGTCCTGGCCGTGTCTCCTGATTCCTAAGCTAGTGATTTGTCCACTACTAATCAACTTCTAAGCTTTTTTTTTTAAAAAAAGATTTGTTTATTTTTGAGAGAGTGCAAGTGTCGGGGGGAGGAGCAGAGGAAGAGGGAGAGAGAAACTCCAGCAGATTCCGTGCTGAGCATGGAGCCCGACTCGGAGCTTGATCCCACGACCTGAGCGGAAACCAAGAGTCAGACGCTTAGCCGACTGCCCCGCCAGTGCCCCTCAACTTCGAAGTTAATTAACTCTAACCAAATTCAGCTTTCTGGTCATTTGAGATAAAGAAGAATATAGTATACAAAAGGAAAAGCTAACTAAGATTAACAAAAAAAAATACGTGATCTTTTCTAATAGGCAGAGAAATAAAGGGGCAGCAGCTGTGCATGTTGGGCTGAAAACAAGAACTTCTACAAATTCAGGATTGACTCTAATCCTGTTGTATGAGAACATGAATTGTTATGAACCCGCTCTGCTAGAAGAAAAGACTTGGGGAGAATGTTGGTTTTATTGGAAGCCTTTATGAAATGAAAAAAAACAAGTTGCAAACAGTCTTAGCAAGGAGAGTGATGGCAGTTATCCCTTCATGCTTTGTTTTGTTCTGCAGGACTTAAATTTTTTATTTTTTATCATATTAGAGTATAGTTACAGTGTCAGATTCTGTAGCTTAAGCTCCTGATGGATGAAGTGAAATTGGTACAGAAAGGTAAGAGGCAACTGCATATTTACCTAATAGGAGTTAAAGATAAAGAAACTGCAAGGTGGACCAAGTCCAGGGACTCTTGTCTATCAAAAAAAGGTAGCATAAAGATGATACATGACATGCCTGAGGTCAGGGAACTTGGCCAAATGATCTCCTGAGGGCAGATTTTGTGCCGTTGTGGCCAGTTTAGGATGTGGTCAGGGAAGTGAGAACAATTTAGAGTAGAATTACACAAGGCCTCTGTTGAATTCATGTTCACCTCCATTCTTTTCAGTTGCATATGTACACTGCTCACTTCCCTCACTTTCACTTAATTGAGCCTCTAATACTTGTTGCCGTGCCTCTTTCACCGCTCACTAAATAATTGTTGCACATCTTTCAAGTAATTTTCCAATTTTGCTTGATGCTTCCTGGATATAAACACAATCTCTCTGCACCAGCATTTGCAGAAATTTGTTCCTTAAATATAAACTCCTTAATACAAGTATTACTGTTTTTAAAGAAGTTCCTACACTGTTTTGTGTACATCTTGTATTAATAAAAATACCAATGTCAAAAGTTTTGAACCTCTTGGTTCTTTATCCTCTTTAGCCCTCTACTTAACTGACTTCACTATTGGTGTCAATAACTTTGTTTAAAGGTAGTAGGTTTTTTTTTCTTTCACTTCTCTGGCCCTAATGAGAATTAGAGAGTAAGTTCTGGGATTTCTGCCATTGCCTTCCCCCTGTAAATACCTCTAGCCTGATCCTGCATTTAAACTGTTTGAAAGTCAAACTACTGCTTGTAGGCCAAATCCAGCCTGCCACTTGATTTTTGTAAATAAAGTTTTATTGGAAGATGGCCATGCCCATTTGCTTACTTATTGTCCATGGCCACTTTCCCACTATAGTAACCGAGCTGAGTAGTTGCCATAGAGATTGGATGTCCCACAAAGCCCAAAATATTTACTGTCTGGCCCTTTGCAGAAGTTTGCCAACCATCTGTTTTATTAAATTCTTACAAACCTGGAAAGAGAATAGTGGCCATAGAGAATGATTGCTTTGAGAATATAACTGGCATAAACATATTGCAGTTTAGATATTTAGACATAAATAAGCATATTTATGCTTATTGATCATTTGATGTGGAGCATTGAACATGTATCTAGTTATCACTTTTTCTAAGTTGTAGCACTTAACTCAGTTGTAGATATCACCTAGGATTTTATGAATTCATGTTGAATGATGCCTACCAATTGAAATATATGCTTCCTCAATGATTTTTTTCATTTATAGTCATTAAATTGACAGACAAAAATTTAGGCGAGAATATAATTGCCAGCCTTAAGAATTACCCCCCACGCACAAAAAAGTGGAAATATGTAACTCATTAGTGACCCTCCAACTTTCTTATAATGATTGCTAGAATCCATTCCTATTCTTGGAAAAATTCCTGGAAAATGAAGTAAAACTTAGACCCATGTATACACCCATCCTCTCATAAAATATTGAATTACTGCCTGTTATATACACATTACCATGCTGCAAAGATGTATCTCGACCCAATAAGCTTTTAATTTAGTAGGGCAAATATATAATCAAAGGACTTAAATATATGATGGAGTAAGATCTATGCATAGGGAGGGAAAGAAAGTGCTAGGGAGATTCGAAGAATGGAGTGAGAAATGACAGCAGGATTGGTGAGGGATAACAAAAATGTTCTTGGAGAGGAGGCATATGAGATGGGTCCTGATGGATTGATAGGAAGCAGACGGGAAGAGGGGACCCAGAGAGCTGGGACAGCATTCCAAGTGTATGGAACAAGCTTGGAGACAGAAAAACATAGGTGTATTCCAGAGAGCTTGTCAACTGTGCCTGGATCACTGGCTCCCAGATATTCATCCGCTGACCAGTGCTGATCCTAGGTGACTTTTTCACTAACCCATGTTTTTAAAAAAGTTAAGTGCAGAGTACTTAAATACGTTTGTGATATAGTTGGCCAAATGTCTTTTCCTGGGCAGGACTGTACTTTATCCTGAGGTTGTTTTAATTTTTTTAATACCAAAATATCCTTTTATAAATGAAATGATGGTGTTGGTAGATGGTGGGATTTTTTTACTTGGCAAAAGAAAGATGGTTAGCAACTGTATGTTTGTGCCAAGATTTTGTTTTGAAATTTTACTAGTCCATGAAATCCAAAAGGCTAGAGCTAAATGGTGGCGAGCTTTGAATGTCATTGTAAAGAATGTAACTAAATTCAGCTCACGATGAAGCAGGTAGACTGCCGTAGGGACAAAAGCAAGATGAAGGGACAAATTAGACTATTGCAGAGTACGTAGGAAAGTACAAAGGCTTTGAATTGATTTTTGGCCAGGAGTCTGAAAAGAATAAGATGGCTATAAGAGAGACCTAGCACCTGATTGGATGTGGCAAAAAAAAAAAAAGGAAGTATTAACGACTTCTTACGTCATCAGGGAAACCTGGGTGTAAGGTACATGGGAACCCTCTGTATTTTTGCAATGTCTTGTGAGTCTTAAACTCCTTCAAAATAAAAAAGTTAAAACAAAAAGAAGACATGAAAAAGAAAAGACTTGTTCAGGGTCCCAAGCTCAAATAGGGCCGAGGCACCACGGAAGCTGAGGAAGACAAGCCCCTGCGTAAGCAGGGAACAGCTGCTTAGCTCCAATCTCTTGTTGCCATGTGGGAATGTGGCCCAGTGTGGACCCAGCTTGCAGATTTTCAACAGAAGCTAGAAATCCGGAATCTGGATTATTTATGTGAAACCTCTCAGCATTTCAAGTGTGTGTAACTAACTTAAAAACGTTTTGATCCCGAGTAGGTCAAACAAAACACATCTGTGAAAATCTCCGTTCTGTTAACTCCTGCTATTGATTATCCCTCTTGTTCATGTGAAAACTTCAGAGTTGAGAGGGAATTGGGACTGCACATGGTAGCTGCAATCATAAATTTAAATTAGTTACAGGTTTACGCAGAAAATGATGCATTTCCAGGGTCACGATAAATTATTCTTATTCTTGGTAGCATGATTAGCGGTAAAGTGGCATGCTTGAGAATTCCTTCCCTTACATGGAGATTTGTTTAGGCTCAGCCAACTAAGGCTTTGTGTGCGTGTGTGTGTGTGTGTGTGCACGCGCATGTTCTAATTTCTCCATCTGCACAGCTGTCTCCACAAAGAACCTATTTACATTAATGGCATTGCTGTTTGAGTATTTGAAACCTTATTTCTTTAAAAAAAAAAATTTTGTAATGGATTTCAAATGTTTTCTTTTTCTTCATAGTGATAACTCACAGGTGTTCCAAGCTGACACGTTAACAACTCCAAGAAATAACACAACGTTTATGGCACAACATTGTCTGGTAAGAAAATGCTTGTAGCAGCCTCACTGGCCGAGACTTGTGCTATTGGTCTTAACTAGTGGTCCTCAAACTTGAGTGTGCACCTGGAAGGCTTGTTAAAACAGACTACTGGGGGCGCCTGGGTGGCTCAGATGGTTAGGTGTCTGCCTTCGGCTCGGGTCATGATCTCAGGGTCCTGGGATCGAGCCCCGCATCGGGCTCCCTGGTTGGCATGGAGCCTGCTTCTCTCTCTCCCTCTACTGTTCCCCCTGCTTGTGCTCTCTTGCTCTCTCTGTCAAATAAATAAATAAAATCTTTGGGAAAAAAATAAATAAAAAATAAAACAGACTACTGGCCCTCAACCCCAGAGTTTCTGATTCTGGGGGTGTGGGGCAGGGCCTGAGAATTTGCATTTCCAACAAGTTCCCAATTTGAGAAACAGTGCTCTAAACATCACTGAAGGAAAAATAAATACGTTGACTACAGTTTTGATTGCTTGGCTGCAGCTGCAGCAGAATTAACTTTTAAATCCCATCTGGATTTAACATTGAGATTTGTTTTTATGTATAAGACCATCTGGCTTCCAATTTTTAAAAGAACATTCTAATTTTGAGAGGAAAATTTGCAAGCTCTCCTAAGAGTAGTTTTTAGGCTTTTACTTCAACTTTTATCTCTCATTTATCTTGAATTGAAAATAAGGTTTGTTTTTCATGGTGTTATAATGTAATCTCTAAATTATAACTCTTATCTACTAATTATCCTATAAACATAGGAAATATGCTTGTAGATCAGTAAACCAAAACGAACAAATGATTCACTATATGAATCTTTTTATTGATGTGAAATTCATATAAGATACAGTTAACTATTTTAAAGTATACAGTTCAGGGGCATTTAGTGCATTTACAATGTTGTTCAGCTACCACCTCTCTTTTCTTTCAGAAAGCATACATCCTAGGGCGCCTGGGTGGCTCAGTCTGTTGAGCATTCAATTCTTGATTTTGGCTCAGGTCATGATCTCAGGGTCATGAGATCCAGCCCCATGTCAGCTCCGTGCTGGGCGTGGAGCCTGCTTGAGATTCTCTCTCTGCCCCTCCCCCATCCTCCCTCTCAAAAAAAAAAAAAAAAAAACACATCCTTGTCTTGTTCCCTAGGTGGAAAGCTTTCAGTCTTCCACGATTGAATATGATATTAGGCATAGGTTTTGGTAAATGCCCTTTATTGTGTTAGGGAAATTCCTTTCTGTTCCTACTTGCTGAGTATTTTTATCATGAAAGCATGTTGAATTGTTTCAAATGCTTTCTGCATCTATTGAGATGATCATGTGTTTTTTTCCCCTCTGTTCTGTTAATATGATGCATTACATTGATTTTCTTATATTGAACCACCTTTGCATTCCTGAGATAAATCCCACTTGGTTCTGTTGTATAATCCTCTTAATGTACTGTTAGATTTGGCTTGCTATTATTTTGTTGAGAATTCTTCCATCTGTATTCATAAGGGACGTTTGTCTGTAGTTTTCTTATAGTCTCTTTGCTGGCTTTGGTATCAGGGTAATGCTGATCTCATAGAATGTGTTAGGAAATGTTCCTCTTCTATTTTTGGAAGAGTTTGAGTAGGACTGGTATTGATTCTTCTTTAAATGTTTGGTAAAATTCACCAGTGAAGCCATATCCGGTCCTAGACTTCTTTGTTGGGAGGGTTTTGAAACAGATTGTATCTCTGTACTTGTTTACAGATCTGTTGAGATTTTCTCTTTTCTCTTGAGTCGGTTTGGTAATTTGTGTGTTTTTTTAGGAATTTGTCCATTTCTTCTAGATTATCTAATTTGTTGACATATAATTGTTCATAGATTTCTCTTACATGATTTTTTAGTGAAATGTTACAGCTTGGAACCCATTTTAAAATATTGCCTCCTAATCTTGAAACTGGATATTTTCCAGGGTGCCTAGGTGGTATAGTCAGTTAAGCGTCCCAACTCAGTTTCAGCTCACGTTGTGATTATATGGGTCGTGGGATCAAGCCCCACGCTAGGATCTGTGCTCAGCATGGAGTCTGCTTGAGGCTTTTTCTCCCTCTCCCTCTGCCCCTCCCCCATATGCATGCACACTCTCTCTAAAAAAATAAATCTTTTTAAAAATTATTTTAAAAAGAAACTGGATATTTTCTTCTTTGTAGAATGATATCCAATATTATTTCCACAAATGCAATATTATACTGGGGAAAAAATAGAATTGTTTATTAAACAAATCTTCCTTCTTCCATTCACTCACTCATTTACTCATTCATTTAGTGGTATTTATTGAGCACTTGCTTGTATGTCGAAGACCTCCATACCTAGTCGTTCTTCTTTTCTGCTCAGCCAAGTCTACAAATTTTTTTAGGAATCTCCTATGTATTAAGCCCTGATCTAGTTGCCAGAGAGATCTAACCTAGTATGAGGGGCTGAGGTAGGAAATGACCTCCTTTAGTTGAGCTCTTACTGATGTGTAGGAGTTAGCCAGCTTGGGATATGGATCATAGGGGCAGACAAGATTCCAGGTAAAAAACTGGCATGTGTGAAGGCCTGGAAACAAAAGGGAATGTGGTGGGTCGGGAATAGAGTGTGTAGAGAATTTGGAAGAAGTGCATTGTAGCCAGTGTGGATGTAAAGATGAAGTGGTGAGAAATGAGATCAGAGATGTGGATTAGTACAAGATCTCGTAGGGCCTTCCAAGTCATGTTAAAGATTTTTCACTTTGTCCTCCTGAGGTCAGTGTGAAGCCATTGAAGAATTCTAAGTCTGTGATTGACATGACCAGATTTGAATCTTTAAAAGATTACCCTGGCTGCAGAGTGGTAAGTAGATTGGAAATGGGCAAAAGGAGATGCAGGATGATCACACAGGAGGCAAGTGCAGTGACCTTGGCTACTGTGATGGCCATGGACGTGGAGAAGAGTGAGATTCATGAGATATTTGAAAGGTAGAATCAATTGCTGAGAGATTTGATGGAAGGCGGTCAATGCTTGTGGCAAAGATGACTACTAGGCCTCTCACTTGGGCAAGTGATGGGTCTGGTGGGGCCACAGAAGAGGGGAAACTTTGGCAAAAAAGTGGATTTAGAGGGGAAGATAAGTTTATTGTTGGACATGTTCAGTTTGAAGTTCTTTGGGATCTCTCAGTAGAGATGTTAGTTGTACTAGTTTGAAGCTCAGGATAGAGATCTGGGCTAGAGACACACATTTAGGCATCATCAGTAGATCCTTATTTAAAGCTGTGGGAATGAATGATGTGACCTATGGAGAGAGTATAAAGACAAAAGAGGCTATAGGAAACAGCTTTAAAGATCACTATAGTACCATGAAAATACAAGGAAAAGTGTTAAGTTATATGCTATCAAGTGGTCAAACATGATAAAAACGGAAAGTGTCCTTTGAGTTACCAAAATGGAGATTATTAATGAATTTCTTGTATTCGAAAGCAAGTTCCGTGGAGAGAGGGGTGGGGTGAGATGAAGCCAGATTGCATTGGGTTGAAGAATGCCTGAGAAGTGAGGGCCTGTAAGTGGCATCATACAGACTAGCTTGGCTATTTGTATGCACGTTACCCTTTCTGCGCCTTAATTTCCTCTTCCGCAAGATGGGAATGTGACAGTATCTGCCTCATAGCTTTGTGGAAGTTGAGTACATTAATCGATGTAAAATATCTCAGAAAAACTGGAAGAAAGAGAAAAAGAGAAAAACGTAGAGCCCATAGCACAACAACGTGAATATACCTGACGCTACTTCACTGGTGCATTTAAACATGGTTAACACGATAAATTTTATGTTATGTGTATTTTACCACAGTCTAAAGAAAAAAAAATGCAGGGCGCCTGGGTGGCTCAGCCGGTGAAGCGTCTGCCTTCGGCTCAGGTCAGGATCCCGGGCTCCCGGGATCGAGTCCCGCGTCGGGCTCCCTGCTCGGCGGGGAGTCTGCTTCTCCCTCTGCCTCTGCCCCTCCCCCCTGCTCATGCATGCTCTCTCTCTCTCTCTCTCTCAAAAAAGTAAAGAAAAAAATGCTTATAGCATATAAAAAAATCAGCGTAAAGCACTCAGCACAGCACTGACACATACTAAGCGCTCAATAAGTACTAGACGTTTTATTAGCAATAGTACATATAGAGAGCAAACATGTACCTGGCAGTTTTTTAAATGCATAATTTTCCTTAGGAATTCTAGGCTCTTAATTTGCGTAAGGTTCAATTTAATATGATACACGTTCCAAACAAACCATCTTACAGAACGGCTGTTTGGCAGAACTGACGTCATTCACACGGACTTGATGATGGGAATTTCAAGACTTATTGGTTTGGCTTGCTGTAACAGCATAATGCATAGGCTTTTATTTTGCTCGAAGTATCGCTTCGTTATTATTGTAAGGCTCACGTAGGTTGATACTTGCTTTCAGGATAAATAGGCTGAATTGTCTGGGAGAATGACATAATTAGAATGCTTTCGGCAGAAGGAACAAAATCCTGATATATCACGTTACAAGAGAGAAACATCATTTTTGAAAAAATACACGTATTGTTGAGTGATAACATAAATCCTAAGTGTAAGGGTCCTTTCCCATACTAGACTGTCCTTAAAATTGGTGCTGCAGGAACCTAGAGTTCACAGAGACAGAAAGTAGAATGGTGGTTGCCAGGGGCTGGGGTGGGGGTGGAATGAGAGGAGTTTAATGGGTATAGAGTTTTGGTTTTGCAAGATGAAAAGAGTTCTGGAGATTGGTTGCACAGCAACATGAATATACTTAACACTACTGAACTGTACACTTAAAATGGTTAAGATGGCAAATTTTATGTATATTTTATCACAATTAAATTTTTTCAAAATCAGGACTACTTTTCATGTATTTCACTGTAGGTAAAAGTGTTTTAGAAAAAATTGCAGTGGTACAAGGCACTGAAGAACCATGGGTGCCATTTAACATGCAGATAAAGATGCATATTTCCAATCCTTGTAAAAATCTGTTCTCTCACAATTATTTTCTTAATTAA